AGTATTTTTTTCTAGAAGAAAGCAAAGTCACTTCTAAGAACCCAGCAGGTATCAGGCTAACGATTCATTCTGTGTGAAGCCCTGCTTGTAAAGTTCTCTTTTTGTTTAATGTGCATCATTTCCAAAACAGAACAGTGAAAATGCTGATGTTCTTATAAAATTAAATTACAAACAAGTCTTTCAATATCCTAAAAGTTGTGTTGCCTGCATGTCTCTTGCAAAAGCCATGATTGTGTGCTGCTCCCAGGTGTTATAAAGTTAGTACGTAAATGCTCATGCCAAGCGCTCAAAGCTATTGCACATGACACTGAACTCGTGCATAGAGGTTGAAAGGCAGTACCTTGATGAGGGAGTGGCTGCATGAAAACTGCAGATTTAGAGCAAGGCAGAGAAGCTTCACAGACACAGAATGAAAGGGGTGGGGAAATAAAAACAAAAAACACACAAAAGAAAGAATATGAATAATGGTGGAAAATAAACCAACACATGGATGAGACACAACATGTATAGATTATGGAACTACAACCTATGTGATCGGATAAAAGTGTGTGAAAACAATCCGCTAGCGTCAGAAGGTTTTGTCACAAAAGGCATTGCGTAATGGTTAAAGAGCCCTCTCAGTTACTTTTACACAACAAAACAAGCATCTATAGATTGAATTACTTCACATTGATGCCATCATTTTGCTGAAAATTAAATCTTAGCCAACTGTTTCAACAATAGTGAATACCAATCCACTAAAATAGAAAATATTTACAGGAAAAAAAATGTCAATAGCATGACAAAATTGGAATACTTCCATTACAAATGAGGTGTTTTTTTTATATTAAAAAGAGGCTTCCTATAGCAGGTCATACAAAATCCTAGTAACTATACGAAAATGGAAAAACAATTAAAAAGTCTGGCTGCTATGATCACCTCTGGCATCCTCACGTATTTATGGCTTACTTCTGTTCAAAAAAGAAATTGGACTATTATAAAACCAAACTAGAAATTGCACATTATTTACCTTCATTCAGCTGTTAAATATTTTTAAATATGATTCAGCACTCAAAAGTTTTTATATGTCAAAGCCTGTGATTCCACAGATATTGTCATAGAGCAAAATACAAGAAGAACTCAACATGGATTTGCCACTCACCGGGGGAATGCTGGGAAGTGGCAAGGGAGGTCATGGAATTTGAAAGGTTAAGGTTTGCAGTTATACTCAGTTGGCTCTGCACAGCGGGAGGATAAGGAGATGTAGGTGTCAGCAGAGACTCCTCACTGGCTTCTTCATCAATTACAGGCAAGTATTTGTCAATCAAGGCATCGAGAAATTTCACTATCAGCTCTGCGTAATCTGGTATCTGCGTTTGCTGATAAAACAACAAGGGATTCAGATTAACACTACAAAATTACATTTGTCAATATACTTCTAGGCAATTAGCAACAGCCACATTTTCTCAACCTGGAAACAAAATAACATCCAATTGTAATAATTCAAACATAAAAGGGTAGGAGTTAAAGCCATCCATAGACTTCAACCCCTTTTCAAAGAGAACAATAGATTGGAATATGATCTGACCATGCGTGTCATTATTCCAAACATCATATCTACCAGTGATGAATACATAGTAAGAGTTCATTTCAACGGGTATACTAGACAAAGGGTCCATTTTTTTTTTTTACAGTCGTATAGCTCTCCATGCCCCCAAAATTCATGAGCTCAGGGCCGAGTTTGAATATCTAAGTCGCAGCTCCAAAGTTTATCTGATATTCTGTAACATTGATCGCTCAAGACTGATGGTCTTTTATAAAATATATCTCTCCAGAAATCTTTTAGACCAGAGCTCAAAATTTCAGGTCCAGAGCTACTAGCCAGGCCTAAAAAATGTCTTGCCACTAATTGCCCCGCATAACACAAACACACAAGGGCATTACACATACAGCCACAGCACAATGCACAGGGCATTACATACACACACAGGGCACACCAACCCATCTCTATGTCCCCCTCAATTACCTGCTGGCAGGGGCCTGGCACTTGAGATTAAGCCAGGTCCCATGCATAGTTATTGCAGCTCAGGCTGCACGAAGGGGACCTGCGGCACAAGCTGCTGGGGCCCCTCCAGTGGTCTACTAGTCCACCCCAAGCATCCCCTGTATTATGACATCGGCGCAGTTACGGTCTTCTATCAATTCATCGGACCTATGACTTTATCGGATTAAAGTTATGGGTCCAATGGAATGATACAACACCGGAACAGACCACACGGCACACGGCAGCCATAAAACCTAACCGAATACTCTCTACGTGACACACTCTCCCACTGCTGTCACGGCTCTGAAAAAGCAAGACTACAGTTCCCATAATCCTCCATGCGCAGACTTCTGTCAGCAGAATGGACCTTAGTAAAGATGGCTGCTGTCTTGCAGCCATATTTAACATGGGAAGGTGCATGGCTGTGAGCAGCAGCATACGGATAAGCCATCTGGGATCCAAGTGTTGGGCACTCTGTCCATTGCCGAATGCCTGACCCAATGGCTTAATTTCCACTCCTCCCAACGCAATTTTCACTCGAAATTGCGAGGGGGCGAGTGGAACTTTTGAGCTCTGTTTTAGGTTATAACTATTTTAAATTAACATATGCATCCTTATGTTAACTCATTCACATCCACTACAGCTCTGAGAGGACAAACTCTGATGGGTTACAGGGATACAGGTGTTTGCAAATTTCCCAGCCTCTGATACCGTCATCCTGGGATAGACCAAAACTACTCTGACAGGCTGTGGCCAATTTGCATAGGAACAGTTTTCCTGGGATCAGAAAGTGAAAAAAAAAAGCCATGCTCAAAGCCATCTTTCAAAAGGTAATTTGTTGCATTCTATATGCAGTTTTATCACTGAAGCGGTTCTTTAAAATTCCCACAGTTAGCACAGCACAAATATGAGAACTGATGCTTTGTTTGGATGCATTCATTAAAAATAACAAACGGATCTTCAGGGCTTGTCACACCTGGATCATGTCCTGACCAGAACAGTTTGTTCCCGGACCAAACAAGCATCCCAATGTATCCCTATGATATTTCTGGGCTCTGTACATACCAGCGCAGTTTGTTCCGGTCCAGACAAAAAAAAACACTTCTCATTTTCTCTGGTCTGGGATGCACTGGAACCCATGGAAACGCAGCAAAAAACGCTGGACTGCAACTGAAAGCCCCTAGTAGGTTTATACTCTCACTGAGTGGGCAAGTGCAGGGGTTCCTTCATCTGAATACCACCACATTTTGAAAACATACCAGTAGGTGAGCCGGCATGGTGTGTGTCTCTATGTCTGGTGTAAGCTGCTTTGGAATAGGAACTGATGTGACGGTTCCATGTACTTTATGGAGCACAAACCATGATACATTTTTGCATACTTAAAATTAGGAACTTCAAAAGTAGGTCTTGTGTTATGAAGGGATAGCCACAAATAAAACACTAGCATGACTGGCACTCAACCATTTGTGCACAATTTTATATTTATATTTAAGATTTTTAAAGACTGAACAATATGTTTTTGGGGAAAAAAAAAAGGAGTTCTCATACCTTGGAGAAAGGTCCAGCAAACCTCCACAAACCATTAAATCCAAAACCTGGAATTGCAAACACAGAAAATCAGCACAAAACAAGGCAAAAAGAAAGTAAATTACTATAGTTTTCACAACTGCTGTATTTGTTTGTGGCTTACTACTGCTTCATTTTCAATGTGGTGGACAATCTGAAAAAAGTAAGGGAGCTCTGTTCAAAGTCCACTAAAAAGATTTACATACAAGATCACTTATAGTAAAATGATCAAACATATATACATAGCCCCAAGAGGAGAAGCAATTCTTTTGTTTTTGTTAAACTCCTTCAGCAGTACATATAACAATGCGCAGGCTGTGTATCCCCACTAAAAATACTAAGGGGGGAATGTATCAAAACTGGAGCAGACAAAAACTGGAGCAGTTTCACATGGCAACCAATCAGCTTCTTTCTTTAGTTTGTTAAGTTTGTTTGTTAAGTTAGGATTTGAAAATTAAAGACAGATGCTGATTGTTTGCCATGAACAGCTGCTCCAGATTTTGTCTGCTCCAGTTTGTATAAAAAACTCAGTACGATAATCTCAGGAAATCCCGCGATTGTACTATAATCGCAAGGTGTATGGAAGACGTGCAACCATTTTTACTGTACGGTCGCACGTCTTTTGTCGAACCAGCATGCTAGAAAACCCGCCGAGAATCGTACGATTGTGGCGGGTTTCTACCCTGCTCGTTCAACGACAGCATGTGCACACTGCCCATTCAGCATTGTGGTCATCAGAAGCCCGCCCCTCAGCGGGGCGGGCTTTCGATGATCGCAAGTACGATCTGCCTGTCCAAGATGGGCAGATCGTACAAGCTTTTAATTAGCTTACGACCATCGCAAGACAAAAGTCTTGCGATGGTTGTAAGGTGTATGGACACCTTAAGAGAAAATGCATAGGGCAGGTTATTTTAACATTTTCCTGCCTAGAACTGCAGTTAATTTTAAACATTCACTCGTCATATTAAGACTTTCAAAGAAGGTTTGAATTGGAGGCAATTGGAGGGACCCCTTCACACGGGTGTATATTGGTGGAGTTAAAGTGCATGTATAGCCAAAACTTTTCTTTAAGCTTTGGATGGCATAGGGAAGGATTTAAATTCTTGTGGAGGTTTTTATAGCTGGCTGTGTCCTTGATAGTTAGATTCAGCTTCTCTTTGTTCTTTTGAATAATAAAAAAATGCAACATTTTACAGTTGTCACCTGTAAAAAAACCAAAAAAAAACTGCCAAAAGGAAATTATTTCGAAAGGGAAATTGGTATAAAAGGGGAATTACTCTCAATTTTTAGATATTTCCTCTCACTTCCTGTTGTGTCTCCTGGTCCGGAATTGAAAATTCCCACAATGGAACATAGCAAAAAATAAACACATTTTCCTATTTATCCAAATCTACACAAAAAAAGAAAAAAAATGTTTTGTCTAAACATGACATTTTGCAAGCATGTGAAGTGTACACAAAGTGTTTGATAACATCTGTTCCATTAAAGTAACTGGCAATGAAATGACATAAAGAATATGTAGATATATGAATGCCAATGGATACAAGCGCACAGATATCATGCATTTTGCATGTAGTTGTCCATATGTTTAACTGCACCAATAATGAACAATTGTGAACACACTGGTAGAGCAGACCTTTAGAATTCCTCTGTAAACTGTACCATGCTGTACCATGCTCCTGTGTTGAATCCTCCATGCAGTGTTTAGTGGCAGACTGGTAATGCTGATAACATCAATATTGCTTGCTGACAAAAGCAATAAAAGTATGCTTTGTTCAACAGAATCTTTTTTTTTTTTTTACTTGCACTGTTACTTTAAACATTATTGTGATCCCTGGCTAAATTAATAATAAGCCTTGGATAGGTTTGCAAAAAAAAACTGGCTTGTGTAGATTAAAAGTCCTGCCAGCTGAGGTGTGAATAAAAAGGTGATACTTACCTGGAAACCTGAGACCTTGAAAGTAATTGATTGAGCACACAATACTGTACGCTTTGGATGTCAGTCTCGGACACCTATGCAGCCTTTATACGACATAGCAGGGGACAGGGACACAAGGACAGTGTCTGCCTGAAAGAAAGCGCTAGCAAGGTACGCACCCTGTTAAGTGCCCACACTGATGCCTCATTTCATCCGCAGAATAGAGCGGATTTATAGGAATATATAGGTGACAATATTTTAAGGATTATTATTAATAAGGAATTAATTAAAAAAACGAAACAAAAAAACCCAACATGTTTTCATATACTCAGTATATACATCATGTAATGGTGTGGACTGTTAACCCTTTCGCTGCCAAGGACGTACGGCATACGGAGCTACAAAAGTGCTTCCAGCTGGCCAGCTCAGTATGCCGTATGTCCTTGGTATTTACAGTTGTACTCAGTGGCGGAACTACCGCCGGTGCAGGCGGTGCGGACGCACCAGGGCCTTGGGGCTCTAGGGGGCCCAGCGCCGGATCGGTACCCAGCGGCCCCCCCATCTCTGCGCCGAGAGTGTCGGATCATCCGTTCATCCGACACTCCCGGCGCAGAGATGGGGGGAATTTAGTCAGAAAATATTTTTTTTTGTGCATGGATACTGATTTTGGTGTGTTTTATCAATTGAATTGTGTATTTTTATCGGTTTAATATTAATTTGAGTAACGTTTGCGCAATTATCGCAGGGCCTACAAATTTAGTATCACCATCTTTTTATTCTACCGGGCCTGCGCTTTCTGAAAATATATGGTTTGGAGGGTGTTTTACAAAAGCTAGCAACCCAGCAGTTGAAAATCAAATCAATAGGAAAAAAATGCAAAAAATGCAAAAATGGCTTGGCCAGCTGATGTGAAAAATGTTCCGGAGGGCTTGGCAGCGAAAGGGTTAAACCACGACAGGCAGATGCAAAATCACAATATATAATGTAACTTACTCTGTAGGTAAGAAGGCTGGTACTGTGGAGGAGACTCTTCATGGTACACCACACTCTGCACAATACCATGTATTGGGTTCAAGAGATTTGGATCTTGACACAGCGATAAAAGGGTGTTGATCTTAGAGTCCAATAAATTGTGTCTGAACAGAGAAGAATGCGTTTTTAACATAATGTACATTCCATCACTAATAATAACAATATTACGTTTTTAAATTTTTCCCCCCTAAATGTATATAAAGGATCCAGAACGCCACAATGTAACTAAAGACACATGCTGTGTAATCTGATGTTTTGGGGTTGCGCAGGACCCATTTCTGAAAATTAAAGTCACCTTTAGACGTCCTGAGTGGTCCCATAACATCGAATTAGACCTCATTTTCATCTGCGTTAAGCAATAGCCTTTCTTTGCATTATGGAGTGCTGGCTTCTTCGACAATATAATTACTATTATAAATGAGTAGAACAGTATGCAGACAGTCTATAAGAGCCAGAACAACTCTAGCCAGTACTAAAAAAAACAATTTGCTATGGAAGTCTTATCTCACAATGTCTGAATATAAAAACATCTTGCATTACCTGTTATATCCCCGTTAGTGAAAATTAATGGCTCCTACTTAAGGTGAAGGACCCTTTTCAGTAGCTACAGTGACATCTAAAGGACTGGAAAGCACCCCACCGGTCTAAGGGTAACTGCACAAGAGCAGCACACTCAGAAGCAAGACAAATGCAACATGTTTACAAAGAAAAGTGGGTTGAGGCTAGGTTCACACCTAGGCGATTTAAATCGCACAAAACAGAGATTTGCATTCAAGTCCATGGAAGCTGTTCCCACCTTTGCGATTTGTCATGCAAAAAAGTGCAGGAGCTATTTTCAGGCGGTTGTCGCACGGTTTGGGTCTCATAGACATCTCTATGCATTGAAAAATGTGTGACAACCGCACGAAAACAGTTCAACCTCCTAGGTGTGAACCTAGCCTGAATTTGAGATTTGTTTACTGTGCTTTTACATTCCCACTGATATTCACAATCTCTATGTTGGTCTCATGACAAGTTATCAATGATATCCCTCTTCTCCATTTTCCCAATCTGCTATTCTAAGACACCCTTCACACACACTTTCAGTTCCAAGCCTACTTCACCTTTTCTGCTCCAGAGACCTAGAGTTTTGGGGCTCTGACACTACAAAGAAGGAGTTTAAAAGGAAAAATACTGCTAAGAATATATTGTGGGTGTTTAACTGTGGATTGTACTAAAGAATGTCAATGATTTTAAACCAGATCCAGCCCATATTATTCCACTGAAAACGATTAAATCGGGGTTTCCTTTCCTAACATACTAGTTATTAGAAGTATTAGATAGTATTTAGAGCTACAGAAACAAAAATTGTACATAAATAAAACCACATAAACACTTCTATTAGGTACTTACACCACAGGAAATACTTTAGGGAAGACCACGCTGGCTTCAGCTAAATATTCATATAGGATACGTTGATCAAACTCATCTGTAGTGTATTTTACAAGTGTAGCCTAAAAAACAAAAGCTGTGTGAACTTCATACTCAAATCCTATACTTCCACATATCTTTTTACAGCTCAATCCTTTGCAGAATAATTAGATGGCAGATTTTCAGGGATAATATGTGTAGCAAATAATGCAACTGGAATTCTTGTTATATTCAAATTTTTTTTTTGGACTTTCTATTATGTACGAAAACAATGATGTGCTACACATTAGGTATCGCCATGTACTCAGGGGTGAAAGCAATAATTAATGGGCCATTATTATTGGTCATCTCTAAACTGATTACCTCAAAGCTTTTAAAGTGTGGCCTATGGCCAATTTTAAGTACTGTAGTTAATTGCCATTTCACAAGCACATGCAATTTTGAAGCGTAACATGTTTGGTATTTGTTTACGCGGGCAACCTCCTCTTCTATATTTTACTAATTTTGGTGTCATTTGTTAGAACAGGGGAAGGGCTTCTTAGTACAAGTGACCATGGTGGCAGTAGAGCAGCCCAAGTACATGTATTGTATGTGTGCCGCACCTCCAGCCATGGTTTACAGGCTCTCCTGCTCCACTGGGGACTTGGGACCATGGCAAATGCACTTAGGATGGAGAGCGGGAATGTTCGTTCCCCGATCTGCTCTTTGAGCAATGAAGCAGGAAGAGCTTACTGTTTCGGGGTCTGTTCACACTAGCTCACTGCGAAAATGCTGCATTTTAGTGGACGGGCTAGTGTGTTGTGGCAGTGGGCATGGTATTGCACACTGCCGGAGCGATCACTGTTTACATTTTTTTTTTCACCTCAGGCAGCAAAAAGGCTAGGGACACCCTGCAACGAGCAGCAGATTTTAAACTGTAAAGAGGCATCAGACGAGAAGCACTTGGAGCAAAGCACTTAGAGGGCATCCGAGACTGATTAATTTAGGTAAAAAGGATGCTGGGGCTCTGCTTTAACTAGCTGTTACAGCAATCACATGAGGAGGCATCCCTCTAAATATGACTTCCTATGTGAAATTGGCTGCCTGTCCTGGTGGCAGAGAGACCTGTACATGCACATATAAATGTTCAAAAGACTTAATAGGATTTTTCTAAGATGTTTGCATAATGCAGCAGGTCATGATGTGCTTAATTTCTGACGGTATGACTGTCTGAAATCTGCCTATTATTCTCCAATGATGCCCAGAAGAGAACAAATCAAACAGTAGGAGGATACAGTCTATAAAAAAGCAATGCACAAAACTATTAACAGCAATCAGTTGTCAGTCCATGGTAGTTCACTGTAGATCCAGGCATCATACAATGGACCTGTGCCCTGTTTCTAGTAGGATGACACACTCTGTGAGCTAATCAGGCTCTACTGAACTGCCCAATATTTCCAATAAAGAAAGTTTTCAGGCACTGGTAAATAAAAGAGAAGCTGCAATAATGAACAGCATTTGCCTACCCTGTTCGGCGTGAAAGAAGTGTCTGAATCACAATCTGTTGCCTTGATCCCTACACTTTAAAAGACCAGATTTCTATAAAGCTAAATTATCAACTCTACAAAAATTTGTAACACTCTTACTAGAACAGTCAGTAGCAGAGCTTGTGTCTTAGGATCTGTTAGAACTTCTTCATCCAAAAGCACATTTGATTCAGAAACAGAAACTTTCCGCAAGTGAGGATGTTGTTGAGGTGATGATATCCTTGGTGTATCTAGGAAAAGCACAGGTTCTTACAGTCACATGCATTAATTTCTGTTTGTATGTGAGGTGATTTATGAAAAAATGGGAGGAAAGAGAAATTAAGTAAAATGAAGAGCTATAGCCTACAGCAACCAAATTATATTTGTTATTCCATTAAAAAAAAGAAAGGAGATACGATTCCTTACTATGGGCAATGACTCTACCTTTGCCCAGTATTCACAAATCAGCCACTAAAGCTAGCTATACACGACTGGATCTCATTAGAAACCGGAGCTGTGGACAACCCTCTCTGCACCACCCGGCTCAACAGAAGTCAGTATAAAAATGAGCTAAGCCAGGCAGAAAATTCTCAGCTGAAAGTGACTATATCCTATCAGATTCAGTTGCTGTTCAGGTATTCAAGCAACTACGGATGACATGGCTGCCCAAATACAATAGCCAGCACTACAGATGGCTTCAATACAACATATGGCACTGGAGATTGTGCCAATACAACATATGGCACTGGAGATTGTGCCAATACAACATATGGCACTGGAGATTCCGCCAATACAACATATGGCACTGGAGATTCCGCCAATACAACATATGGCACTGGAGATTCCGCCAATACAACATATGGCACTGGAGATTCCTCCACCCACGCTCCATCCAATTCTCTGTTAAATTGATAAACCGGAAAGTATTCTTGCGATAATTTTAAAGAGATTATGCATTTTAAAATGACACACAAGCACAGTAAATATAATTCTACTCTGATACATACCAATATCATAATCATTCTCTGCTACTCTTCTCATTTTTGGAGGTGTAGTGATGCCAGATTCAATCTCCTGTCTTTTAGGAGCTTTAACATCAGATATTAGGTGGTCAAAGCTTTTTCTTGTACCTATTGAGAAAAACAAAAAAAAACTAAGACATTGAGAAACATAGGATATTACACAGTTAATGAGTGGATGGTTGGAATTTAAAATAGATAAAATGGATTTAGTGGAGAGGGGATCTCGATCCTTGAGACCTTAGTCTGAATGATTGAATGATGGTCTAAGCCACCTAGCCATTCCTAGATGGGCCACCTTTGGGGCCCATCCGGAATGACCAAAAGGGAATCAGTCTTTCTGAAAGTAGCAGACGAAGGAAATTCCAGAGCCAAAAAAAAAAAGGTTGAAAGAGCAATGTCCTAGTTAAGGTGAAAGGCAGAGACTACAGAGTTCTTGGCCACAACACCACCTTGTCCTTATGCAAGACTAAAGGGGATCTATGCAAGTTAGAGAACTATGGGGTCAGTGTTTTTCCCCATAGTTCTCCTTAGGGTAACGGGAGGACACAAACTAGCATCCTCACGTTACCCTAAGCTCAGTATACCGCGAGCTACAGCTCACGGTATACTGAGACGGCGCAGCTGGAGCGGATCCCGACTTAGATGACGGGACTTGCCCAGCTGTGTGAGTGACAGCTGGCTCTGCCTATCTAGAGGCAGAGCCAGCTGTACCCGCCCCCTCCCCCGTCCGTTCTGCCAGTCAGCGCTGGCAGATCGGAGCAGGGAGAGGGGAATCCAGCCCCTCCCCGTCACGGCAGAGAGCCGTGACAGGATCGAGAGGCGAGCGAAACCCGGTATGTGTTTGCTCACCTCCCGATCTACCAAGCCGACCTGTGACAGTCTCATTGTCACAGGTCGGCTAGAACTATGAGGTGAGTGAAAAGCACTCACCTCATAGTTCTCCTTTAAGGCCACCAGTTCAGAAAGTCGTCTTTCAGGGGTGACAGCTAAACCACCTTGTGATTGACGGTTGAGAGAGCAGTGTCTCTAATGGGTTCAAACGGAGGCTTCTGAAGCACAGAGAGAACCAAACTCAGATCCCATAGAGTCACAGGGGAATGTATGGGGAAAGCTACATGGGAGACCCCAGAACAAAGGTCTTAATCAAACAGAGAAGAGTCGACAGTATCTGAAACAGCATGGAATATGCAGACATTCAACTTTTGATGGTGCTGGCAGCCAAACGTTGATCCAGACCCAACTTCAGGAAGGAAAATAGGATTTTTGTACTTGCAGTAAACTCCTTTTCTTCCATTGATGGACACACAAGGTCTAGTACTGTGAGGGTATACGGCTGCCTACAAGAGGATTGGACACTGGGAAACAAAAAAAAGGCCAGCTCAGGATCCTTTCTATTCCCAGGATGCCTTAGTTTTGTAGCAAAGCAGTACCAAGAGAATGCTCATAAATAAAACACAGGTGTGGGACCCCTCAATGGACTAAAAAGAAAAAGAAAAGAATGTTATGGCTAGTACAAAAATACCAATTTATTTCTCGTTCATTGAGGGACACAGGAAATCTTGCACTGTTAGGATGTCCAAAAGAAGTCCAACTGAGGGGTGAGCAAGGGCAAACAAAATGCTAACTGGCCCGTTATAAAACAGAACTGCAGGTCAAAGAATGCATGGAGGACCTGGTGCCTGAAGCTGGCATCAGAAGAGGCCTGAACATCCACTTGGTAAAGCTTGGAGATAAGGTGAACAGAAGCCTTACAAATCTGAGAAACAGCCCAAGAGGCACTGACAGATGTAGTAGTGTGTGCTTTAATAGGAAAGGTTGGCACCCAAACCTTGAGACCATTTACTAGAATGATGATCTGTGTCACAGAGATGGTGGAATAGGAAGCTGACTCACCCTTATGGGGACCAGGAATCACAGAGGTCTTTCTGTGGAAAGCAGTGACTATGAGAAAAACTCACAAAGCACAAACTATAACCAGGCAATGGAGAGAAATCTTCTAATGAACTGGAGTCTGAAAGAAGGATAAAAGAATAAAGTCCCTGTTGAGGTGAAAGGTTACAACTAATTTGGGAAGGAAGATCTCGGCCTCAACACCGAGTCCACGTGTAAGAGCAGAAAGGGTTCTTGACAGGATAAGGCCGCCAGCTCAGACAGAAAATCGCTTTGCATTATTACATAGGCTTTATGTAGCGCCAACAGTTTGCGCAGCGCTTTACAATATAAGGAAGACATTACAAATCACAATACAATTCAAGACAAGATGGTAAGGAGGGCCCTGCCCCTGAGGGCTCACAATCTAAAATGGAGGGAGAAGTGATACATGAGGAGGTAGCTGTGTGCGGATGAATTGTTTGAGAACATGATGGTTCAGTGGTTAGGTTGAGGTGGGATAGGCTTCCCTGAAGAGATGAGTCTTAAAGGGATCGCCTTGTAGAGGTGATGGGACCAAGAAATGTATACCTTGTGCAAGAGAGTGGAAAGGGAAATATCCCTGATAGGTTTAAATGGTGGGTTTTAAAGTGTTGAAACAACCAAAAGGAGGAGATTCCATGGAGTCACGTGACATTAAACAGGAAAGACACATGTGTGACACCCAGCATTAAGGTTTTGGACAAAAGAATATGAAGCCAATAATCTCTGAAACATGATCACAGGGCAGACACATGATCCTTGATGGTGCTGAAGGCTGACCGCTGGTCCAGACCCAACTGTAAGAAGGCAGGGTATTTGTCCCACTGAGAATTTTCTGGGGTGAAAGCCTCTAGGCTCACATCAAGTTAAATATGCCTTACATGCATGGTTATAGACCCCGTGAGAAGTTAACTTCCTAGCTTTTAGCAGTGTGGGAATCACCGACTCAGAGATGCCCTTGAATCTCAGAACCTGGGCTATAACAGCCAAGCAGTTAAAGCCAGCAAATGTGAAGCAGGGTGGTATATTGGTCCTTGAGACAGAAGATCCAGACTGGAAGAGTCCTTGAAGTAACCGTCAAGAGACTTATCAGGTCGAGGTACTATATCTGCCCGGGCCATTGCGGAACTATGAGGATCACCAGAATGCTCTCCATCTTGATCCTGCAAAGCAGTAAGGAAGGAGCTTCTGGGGAAGAAAGCCGTACATTAGGGTGTACTGATCCCGCAGGGCCACCAGACTATGACACTGGTCTTGTAAACCCACCGTGTGTGGGGAACTAATCTACGGGCTTCAGGCACTGCTGGCAGGCATATTTTCTACCCATGGACACAGCTCACAAAAGCTGGAACATGCAGTTCTGCCCAGCACAAGGTCTGCTCAACCTTCCTTGCCGCAGTAAGACGAATGGATGAGAAAGAATTAGAAACAAAAAAAACTTACTCTAGCTATTTAAGGTGTAAAGCTGCAGAAGATAGATAAAGCAAACATTAATTACGTTACTTTAACATACCCAAAAGCTTCTTAGTGTTTGCTTGTGATGGCTGTCCCATATCCAAACTCATGGATTTCCTTGTCCGTGGGCTAACTTGTCCAACTGTGGGGTAGCTTGCAGCTAGATGCATGCCAGATCCCTTTGGAGAAGACCATGGCTGGTTTTCCTTCAACGTTCTGTTAAAACAAAAAAAAGAAAAGAGAAACATCAGAATACGTCTTAAACCCGTGACACACTGCATGCAAAGCCGTGCAGAGCGAGGCAAAGCTGTACGGCATGGAGTTTTGCGTGCAGTGTGTGAGCTGAGTGCAGGCAGATCATTGACTGCACCTTCAGCCAATCGGCTCGTGCGTAACAACCGGCCAGACGTCGCATCCTGACGCGCGGGTTTATACGCGTGAGCTGATTGGCTGAAGATTACATTTTTCATCTTGGCACGCTCAGCTATGCGAGGTCTTGCAAGCCGACGTGCCGGGGAGAAAATTACATGACGCACCGTTGCTTCGCGTGCAGTGCGTCACAGCCTTTAAGGTATGTGCATCAAGAAGCTATTTTGAAGTACCTGCTGTGTAAATGTATCGAAAACTGTGTAAATTTATCAAGTAATAACCTGCAAGTAGGGTCACTGTGATGCATTGGATATGTATCCATAGGAACATTTTCCATCGAAACATCTGTCAGCAAGAGTGATTTTCTGTGTTTCAAGCTGCAGCGACTCCTCACCTCTTCAGATACAGTGAGCAGGGCTAGGAATAAAAAAAAAATGTCAATTCAACATGATATATTCCTTTGTTATGATAATCCAAATCATGCCTAAATTGTTATTGGCATTATTATTAGCAAATAAAATGTATTGAAAGTAATTACACAACAAGCAACTGAAATATGTCCCTGCCTTACTCTTGGCCTGCATCTAACTGGCCAAACTTGCACAAAGAAAATGGAGATACAAGCACTGCATGGATAGTCTCAAAAAAGCCAGCATTCTAGAAAATGTGTTGCATGAATGGGGAACACGTTCTTAACTTGATGATTGACTAAGCTACGGAAAACTGTGCAGGTGCAAAATTTAAGTAACATCATTTTCGTTTTCTTTTAAGAAGGTGCTACTGGCATTAAACTTTTGTAAAAAAACAATGTTGTAAATGCAACTCTTGTGCTTATTACATTATAAAAGCATAATGTAAAAAAATTTTAAAAATCCACTTTTTGTTCATTATATAATCTTTATTTTTTTTTGTCTAAGAAACAAAATATATATAACAAAAAACAAAAAACCATAACAAAAAGGAGCTAATCAGATATCACAGTCATGCAGGGAATGAAAAGAAGCATGTCTAGTTATTATGAGCAACCATTTGCTTTCCTCCAACAAAAATAAAATAAAGTACCAAATTAGCTACCTAATCTAGTCCCATATAGCTACAGCTATAGGTGTAACTATTGCTCCTAGATTAAAAAAATTCCTTCGGTCTTTATGCAAGATTCTCAACTTTTTACTGCCAAGAAAAATAGATTTCCTATGCTGAATGCAGCAGTACATATTTGTTTATCATTATAGATTAACGATTTGTTTATACACACAATCTCTAACCAACCAGGTGTTTTGTTTTTTTTGCAGATCTGAAAAAAAAAAATCATACAATTAAATATAGATTCAGACAGTTGTAATCACTGAAATATTTCTTACCTGCTAAATAGGCAACGCTCTGTGTATTTACTTCAAACTTATCACAATTCCTGTGTTTATTTACAAGTGCGAGCAGCGTGTGAAGGATTCTCACTGTTCTTGCCACCGTAGTAGGAGATGGATGTCTATAGCCTAAAAATGATAAAATGTGTACAGTATAATACAAAATTCTTGGTTCTTCAGTGTTATCAGTGTTAAACATGGTGGGTGGAAGACTTATGGAAGCAGGCGATATATGAAACAGGCACCTATCCAGTGTACATGATCACTGGGGCATATTTATCAATCACTTTTACTTTGGATCATGTGATATAGATTGTGATTGTTGCAGTTCAAAGAGAGCAACCAGACCCCGCCATCATCATGTCCACAGAGCGTCTAGTTTGTGCCTGTGCAACAGAGTTCTGAAAGTGGGATCGGGCAGCATCTGAGATCTAATTATACGGCTAGAAGCGATAAGGGCAGTGGGGGAACGCACAAAGGAGTGCATCACAGGACACAGTGAGGAAATGCTAATGCCACTGCATTATGCACTGCGTCAGATGATCTCACTGGCAAATCAGTCAAAGCTATTCCCTGCATAACCCCTCCCACTATCAGCCTTCTTCAGTTTTGTAGCAAGCTGTACAGAGTGGAACAAGAGGAATGGGTCCTGGGTCCTGTGAGTCCCACTGACTACAGTAATGATGCTACAGATGGCCTCCACTGTGAAGGCCAAGGGATCCCTGGATCCGACGACAAACCTGTCCAGCTTGTTGTTCAACCTGCATGCCAGGGGGTACCAGTACAGTACTGGTCCATGGCCCGGGGACCCCTACTGTAAAGCACCCTGCAGGTGATCACATGCTGCTCCCTGTGCCATGGAGGAAGCAAAAGCAGTACCCAGCAACATAGCACATTCCACCCTGCATCTTTTCTGGTGGGGTCTGGGTATGTTGCACCAAAACACAACCAAGAAGACAACGGATAGAGATAGCTGCTATAAGTGCAACAACAGCATGAAGCAGCATTAGTAAAACTTGATAGAAGAGAAGAGTCTTGTGCAAAAAAAATTTAAACAGACTACATCCCTCAGAGCTAAGAGAAGGCACCCATCACCTAAAAACACTAGCAAAAACTGAGGCAGGCCATGAGTGGGCGGGGTTATACAGGGCTGTCATACAGATTTGACTGATATGCCAGTCTCCATTCACTTAAAGGTAGCTGCAAAATTGTTATATTGACCATGAAAGAAACTAGTGGTTACAGAAATCAATAGGGTTAATTGCCTGAAGGAATACATGCTGTTCACCTAGCAAAGTGAATGATCACTTTAAAAAAATGTTTACTTTTTAATGTTAGCTAATAAGATGTAGCTGTGTTTATGTTGAATACCCAATCATGAGAGGGAAACAAGAACATGATTGGGTATTTAAAAGTAAACACAGCTTTACTTTAACCCCTTCGTGACTGACGACGTACAGTGTACGTCGCCAGCATCGGGGCTGTTTAAACAGACTCCCGGCGACTTTTGCCGCCGGGAGTCTGTTTAAACACATTCACTCTGCAAGAAGTAAAGCTGGCACAATGAACCCGTTTGCATGAAGGTTTGAAAACATATGGAAAAATTTGAATGTCTGGCTTTCTTAGCTAGATCTGATCACCCTAACAATTCAACTCCAAGACTTAATACAACATGCCCCATTTATACTTAAACCTGCACGACACACACCCGTCAGAGATGTATATGTTTCTTGACACAATTTAATTTTCCTTGACAGAGCTCAAAGTGCATTTCTAGAGAACCCTCTTACTGTAGATGAGATTAAATTGGCAATACGAGCATACAACTTCAGGATGTTGCTGTGCCAGCTTTTGTTTTATGCCAGGAAAGCCGTGTTATTAAAATGGAAAGACTCCACGGTACCAAACTTTGCTTCTACAGTGATCTGATTAACAAGGTTCTACTCAAATAAAAACAAACCTATATTCGCTTTTGATGGCCTAAAAAACATAATAAGGTATGGCAACCAGGGTTAAATGCCTCTTAATATAATGGTAATGGACAAACTGAGTAAAGTACTTGACAATATCTTCTGGTTGATTGTGGTTCCAATGTAGGGGAGAAAGGAGGAGGACCGTACATGTGTTCAACCATACATGTAAATCAACTCCAATGAGTCAGAGCAATCACTCATACTTTGTTTGATGGCTTCAAAAACTTTGGGAGACTAACAGTGCCTAAAGGTAGAAAGTCTGCTGTGCTTTCTCTTTAGCTATCCCCTGTGCTTTGAGAGTCCTTTGTCAAGTAATAAATATGTTTAAATGCAAAACAAAGTTAACAGATAGTAAAAACATACATTTTAAACCACTAAAATAAAAATGGCTCAAAACCACTATCATTGTGCTTTAAAGAGTACCCTCAAGACTAATGTGCATTTGTTTCACAAAGCTATCACTTTCTATAGTGCCTATATAACATATTTAAAAGGAACTTACCTTTCAACAAGTGCCCAACTAGTGCAAAATTGAAGTTAGAATTGAAATTGAGGCCAACAAAATGGTCCATTTGTTTACAATGCCATTCCTCCAGAGGATTTCGAATTTCCATGAAAACTTCTTCTGGGCTCTGAAAAATAAGGGGAAAAAAATTAAAGGCCCGGTAACTGCAAAGCCAGCGCTATGCGTCAGTGCTGGCATGCTGCAATGTATGCTTTTTTACATTTTTTTTTTTACTGTGCAGCAGCCCTCCACACATACACCTTATTAGTGATAAATGTACATAACTAGAACAGTAAGTAAAAGAAAATGTTCTCCCGGAGTTCAGCATTAAGAGACAGATAAAATCAAATCCTGTCCCTAAGTCCTTAAGCTTGGGCAAAAAGCTGTCTAATCCACATAATGATACGAGAAGCAGTGTGCCTCTTACGCAGACCCTCAGAAATGACAAAAAGATGCTCCGTCAAACTGAAAGAGCCCATAGCAAAGTGGTAAACCCAAAGAACATGAAGCAGGACAGATAGATAGGAGAACAATGTCCTGATTGAGGTTAAATAACAACCTTGTCTCTGTAGTACCAGAAAGGTTTTTTTTTTTGCAAGGCAAGGCCGCCAATTTAGAAACATATCTTACAGAGGTGATCTCTGGAATAGGAGACAAATTTGCTCAGTTCGTTGTTCAATCTGGAAGTCAGGAGGCTCTCATCCGGTGTTGCTGACCTTTGACAAAGGTCATGAAACTCCTCCAGGTGAAGAGACCTTTACCCTGAATACAGATGTTGACTGAGGAAGCCCATCTGCCAATTTTCCATGCCTGGAATGTGAATGACCCTGGTAAGATAGAGAGCTCCAGCTTTAAAGGCATAGCAGTATAGCCCATGGCACCAGTAGGTGAGCTTTCTTGTGCGTTTAGGGCCCCTTGCACCAAAGTGGTTTTTAGGACTCCTCACCTCCCGAGTCTCTCAGGATGTCATTCGTGAGATGTTTTAATATTAGTGGAAGGAAAGATTTCCCTGACTTCAACAGGTCCTTCAGATGTGTACAGTTAAGAAGGACAATTCTGGATAGGTGTACAATATCTGCAAGGCTGTCAACACGGTAGTGTAAGGCCACAGGGATGAGCGCCAAATTTGTAACTATAGGGTCATTTAGGATAAACCCAAGGGTCATATATACATTATTGAACACTACCAACACAGTCTTTTAAGAAGGATAGTACTGTATATAATTCAGTTGTAAGATCAGATTTTTTACAGTTAAGAGTACAACATTTTTGACACAGAGGAGAACAGGCTCTTTTGCCTGTTTGAATTGTATTCACTGTTTGGTACATCCACATCAGGAAACACCTATACCAATCAGGCATCCCCTAACGTGTCAGAGTTCTTATGTTGTCTATGTTATAAGGTGTCCTTTTGGATTATACTATATTGGAGAGACTATATTGGAAAAACAGAACATTGTAAAGCAAGACACAAATATGCCATAATGGATAAGAGAATAGAATTACCGTTAGTAAGGCATTTCATTAATCATAAACATGCAATATCACAGATTTGATACCTAGGTCACTGAGAGGCAGTAATGGAGAAATAATATTAAAAAAATAGGTTAAGTGGATTTTTGAATTGAACAAGTTACAACTGAAATGACAATGTAAATTTAGACCTGCATTTATTTTTATAGAGTTTGGTGTATACAAGGGGTTAATGGAGTGTGTTGAATTTCACAGGTCAAGTCTGAATGTGGGGATCAAGTCCTGTGATCAAGTAAAACAGAATAGATATAGAAAACGTATGAGGAGTTCAACAGATACTGAGTGTGGAATCATTTATGTCATTTAAGAAAAAAACAGAAAAGATGTGTGTAATGATATATTGTATTTGGGGCTTGATAAAGAGAGAGAGTGCTGCAACACCTTGTTTTTCCGATTACTATTATATAAGGGATCGAGGATGAGTTCCTGTTTCATGGTAACGATAAGAAATGCTGGAGAGCAGTACATTAATTTGATTGAGTATATATATACTATGTATCCAAAGAAACAATGCCGAAGCTATATACACTTACCTTGTCATTGAATACCCGAAGGCTGTCTAATGTGTGCAGGTTTTGTTCCAGTAGTGCTGTACCTGCCGAATATAGATTAACTTCATCCAGCTGGAGTACTGCCATAGCCACCCAAAAGAGAGCTTTGTGCATAGGAGAATCCTAGGAGAGAGATATATAAAATATTTAAAACCCACTTCAGAAATCAAACCCAGCTTTGGGTAGCTTTTAACCTTACAAACATATTTTACAAGCACCCCCAATATTCATATATGTGTAATACTGAGCATGCCAATGCAGGAAACGTACAACTTTAAAGCACAAATACTTAGTAGACTGGTTGTATAAATAAACAAATTAAAACTGCAGTCAAAAATTAAATTGAGCTGTTCTGGCTCCACAGGAGTCCAGAAACCTATTATGCAGAGCCAGCTGTCACTCACGCAGCTGGGCGGATCCCGTCATCTATGTCGGGATCCGCTCCGGCGTCTCAGTATACCGCGGGCTGTAGCTCGCGGTATACTGAGCTTAGGGTAACGGGAGGACGCTAGTTTGTGTCCTCCCGTTACCCTAAGGAGAACTATGGGGAAAAACACTGACCCCATAGTTCTCCTTTAAAAGTAACTGTTTTGGGAGAGAGTTAAATCAGTGGGTCTAGCTCTGCTATGATTAAGGTTAGGTCAGTGCTAAATGTTTCAGACTGAGATACTGTGGCTTTTAGACAGAACATGAAATCAATTACTGTACAGCACTAAGTAATCCAGCTGGAATAAATATTTAGTCTGATGACCATTAAACATTACATACTGTAACATACAAGTTAAAGTGATATTAAAGTAAAAAGGAGTCTAAGATATTTTAAATGCTGATGAAATCACTTACAATGAATGCTGCTCCTTGATGTTTAAAAGTTGCAGTTTCCTGCAGAATCAGTTGGTCCCCTGAGCACTGGTCCTGACTTCCTGTTTTAGAGTGACTCCTTTCTCAAGCACAGTGCTATGCAGTCACCCTTGTGTGTGCTAGTAAGCTGTGTGTGTAACCGCAAATACACAGCAAATCAAGCTACTTCCCTCCCCCTGGCTGCCTCTTCTCCCTTCTACAAGCTAGTAGATGAACAGTTGCTGGAGTCTGCTCTGTCCTTTGTGATCTTGTACTGGACAGGAAGTTCAGTGAAGCTGAACTTCCTTGGAAGCAGCTGTTCTGAAACATGATGACTGAGCGTTTGGGGAAAAATGTAAAGCAATGCTTTGCTTGTCAATGTAGATTTGTTTGATCTGAATTCATTGAAAGCAAGTTTGAGAATATACTACGTTAAATCTTTACCTTATTCAGAAGCGGCTGCAGTTTGGTTAGTGCTATCACAGTGGCTTCTATTAGAACTTGGCTGTTGTAGTTGTCAGGACCTTTTAAGCAGCTTTCCAATCCCTAAAATAGAACATACATTTAGTAAAATATAGACAATGTAAAAGAGCCCAGACGACAACTACAGAGGGCGCTTTGTGGACCACTGGCCATATAACTCTATTCTTCCTATTTTATCAGATGGTTCCTTCCATTACACTCTGTACATTACTGTAGTAACAGATACCCACTCGTAGCAAGTGGGGTTTCTATTTTACAAATACATGGCATGTCACTTATTTATTTGGACTCAAAATTGTTGAAATACACTGTAAACCAGGATTACAATTAAACAAAATAAAGTATTACTCATCTATGTTCATTATTATGTTTACTTCATTTCGTATTATGCTTGTGAATATACAAATGCTAAGTATGGATTCTGACATGTGGCAATAAACACTGCATATAATGTTACATGCTCCCTTTTGCAGTCAGCTGGTGGCACATGTGAGTATATTACTCCAGAGCTTATTTATCTGTTTATACAAACATCAGTACTAGGATTTCAGATTACACAGAGGAGAGGCAACACCACACACCTCTAGACAGAGCTATATAGATCAGCCAACAAGAACTAGTCCTAGGCCTTC